CTCAAACGTGAGAATAGAAATTGACTCAGAGAGTGACAACACTTCCCTTTCATTACTACAAGACTAAACATTTATGTACACAATACATGCATCTGATCTTCTGTGCGTCTTGTGATGTAAGTAAATCTGTACACAGTACAGATTTACTTTCCTCTGGGCACTCACACAGAATAAATTTATTCTTGTGTACAGATTCCCAGATTCTGTGACACTGGAAACGGTTTATTGTTTTAACTGGAAGTTTATTCTCCCTTATTTTTACCGGTAAATTAAAGGTTAGTGCCTGCCAAACTATAATTCTAATTTGAATTCTTTATATGGCTTCCCCTAAAATTCTTCAGTGGGTCTACAGCCCCAGGGCACGACGCACCACTCAGTCAGTCATTGATACACGAACCAGGGATTGTAGAACGTCCGTGAAGTCATAACACGCACTAGATTGTATCATCTCTTTATTCTCATAATGTTAATTCTACAAACGTGGGAATGGTTTTAATTCTCGTACATTTTACGAAATAATATCTGAGATTGCATTCTTAAGTATAGGCTTGAGCTTTGTCTACATGCGACAAGAATCTCGGCTAATAGAAAATTCTTGAGAAAATTAACTAATACCGCCCACGCCCATTTCACTCATTTCTCATTATTGCAACAGAGAACAGTTAATTTGACTTGAATTTATTTTATGAATATTTCAGGAATCTTTTAGTTTAAAAACTGTATAATATGATGTCAAACAGTAATACAATCTCTTTTCTCAGTTTGACATAGTAAAAACAGTATATTTGTTTAAATACATTGCATGTTTTTATCAAGACATTTACAAATTACGCGTTTATATATGGACATTCACTTTCATAATAAAATTAGCCCATATAGTAGGAATTGAAGAAATGAGAAATTTATACGAAGTTTCACTCTAAGAAATGTTGACAAAGTTTTCCAGAGAAAATACATTGCCTTTCTATTGCTCCCAGGAATTTCAGTACGACTTTATGTTATTATTATTATTATTAGTGGTAGTAGTATTTTTATACTTTATATATAAATATTATTTGTTCCAACGGTGAAACAAATCTCATTTGCTTTTGAAAATTTGGATACTATCGTGAAATTAAAATGTATCTTTAATATTTTTAAATTATTAAAATTCCACCATTTCACTAGGATGAGGGCTACCTATTATCACGACATTAAATTTCGTAACCTGGTTTATCCTTATGCCTCAAGATGAGTTACTGACTGAAGTTAGTTTCTAATTGTGGTTTAAGTCGCGACGCGTCACTCAAGCATCTGTCCTGCTTACCCCTTTTTCCCCTATACGTTTCCTTTTACGTAATACTCCACAGATTCTCACTTTTTATTTTACTCTGACCAATGTATAATTATTTACCAGTTACTTTTACGTATATGTATACGTTTCTGTGTTTTACGTGGTTTTAACCCTTTGAAGCTCAAGAAATGATACGACGTAGCGCAGTTTCGCATTAAACCTTGTTGTTTAGCAATATCCTACAGTCTTTTGTTTGCTAAAATAGTAATTATCATAAATGTAATAATGTAATCACTGTTTTACATAGTTATTGACGACCGTGAATAATTAGTAGGTCGTTGTGCTGAGGCTCTGAACAATGGACGTATAATTCATGCATTCTTATTGTGTGTGCATCTGTGATCTTTGGAAATCATCTATCATTTTGTTGCAGTCAGATAACGTTATACCATCTGTGATCTTTGGAAATCATCTATCCTTTTGATGCAGTCAGATAACGTTATATATTTCACATCAATAAATGCACTCTTCGTTGTTTGGGGCATCGTGTTAACCTGATTTTATTGTTAAATTCTCAGCTGTACGGTGCACTTACTATTAGTGTCATTGTTGTTTTACTCAGGCGTATGTTACGTTTGGTGCACGTGACGTGACACATAGTTTTGAACACTCTCGTAATGAAATGGAATGTTGCCGTTTAAGTTCTGACACGCGCAGTTGACGGCCATGACAAAGTGCGAAAAAGACGGTTCTTAAAAGCACAGGAACTATGCAGTCGTTAATAAATTCCACGGACACCAAGCAAGTGTAATTTGTCTACGCGGTCACATTCACAGCTAATATACTTCTATTCATGGACTTAAATT